AACCCATCAATCATTCTTCTAGATCTATACAGATCTAGATCTAGACCTACTCTAGATTTCTACTAGATCTAGATTTCTAGATCTTTCAGTTTCATTATTATATAAAGAATGTAAATAAATTATGACCATTAGATCTAGATCTAGATCTAATCTAGATCTAGATATCTAGATCTAGAAAATCTAGTACACAATCATTATTTAATGGATGAGGCTGCATTTCTGACATAGATCTATATAGGGCCTATATTAGATCGAGATCTAGATTCTAGATCTAATCTAGATCTCTATATTGTATAATAATGTTACAACGACAATGAAAAAAAAGTTAATATAATATAATATAATCAGATCTCTACCAGTGACAAGCTGTTAAAATGTCCCAGAAACAAAATTTTACAGTACAAATTATATTACAGAAAAAAATTTCATTCTTTTAACTTTACTTTATATTTTACAGTGGAACTCGGATTCCACGAGCTCAGATTCAACGACATGAGATAGATTCCCTGTTTTTTTTCTTCTTTAAAATAAAAAAAAATAACCCGGATTCAACGAGCACTTAAATCAGTGAGCTCGGATTCAACGAGGTTGCTTCCAGTGTGAACAGCCCCCGCAGACGTTGCTTATCTATTCCCGGAAACCATCTATTGCACATACATCGTGAACCATTTTTCACTTAGGTAAAGCCAATTGCATGCGACCAACCAGCGGCCTTTTTTCACACCAACCAACACATAAGTTGTTTTCACGCACACGTGTCTACTCTAGCGTGTGTCAGGGTCGGATGGGCGACCTGCACGCGTGTGGCTGTGTGTGCGTGTCGGGGGAGGGGGAGGGGGGGGCTCTAGCGGTCCGGGCGTTGAATGTCGCAAACGCATCAGTCTTTTTTTAACCTCAGCAACTGATCATTATATTACAATGATAAAAGTTACCGGTAGTCTTGACGTAATCTACATAATGAACTATGCGCTGGACTATGGGATCAAAAGGTGCTGTATGCTAGGCTCTACACAGCAACTCTACTTTTTGGTTAACAATCGAGATGACACAGGCATGTGCATTTGAGCGGTCAGGTCCGGCGACCTCGTTGAATCCGAGTTCCACCGTACCTTCTTTATATTATTTCTTGCTGTTTTTAACAATTAAAAGCTGAATTTTGACAAAATATTTTTGAACATGCGACCAATAATAGATCTACCTCAGATACAGATTTTTAGAAACCGTAATTTTTCTTTTAATTCAATATTTTGGGCTCCTTATAATTAATCGACAATTTCTTTTCAATGAGTTGATTATATATAAACTTTACTGAGTGTAACTTTCTTTTAATTTTTTTCCTTCACAGCTGAGGTCACAAGTGAGTCAGGCAGAGCACAGTTCTAGGACTTTTGAATTCAGAATGGACTCGTACTCATACGGATTTGGAGTTTGACAATTTTCATCTTGATTCTGACAGAAATTATTAGAATCTTACCAATTTTAGAAGAAGATTGCTTTTACAGTATATCCAGAATTGTTAGCATTTTTAATTTTATAGCCTTCCCTCCCTTAATTTTTGCCAGTGATGTTGAAATGTTAAATTTGTTAAATTTTATTGTGAACATTCCAAGGTGCTTGTAAAATAGACCTAATATATTATTTAAATACAGTTTTAAAGTATTATAATTATAAAATCTCAAAGATGAAAAGAGATGGAGCTGGTCAGGGCTCACAGATTAGCCCTTGCGAATCTAATGTGGCTGTTCCGTTTTGCTCAGAAGGGAATAGTAGCTGCTTAGGTTCAAGTGATAATGAGCTGTGTTCTAATGTGAAGGAAATGGAAAAACCAGCAGACTCTTCCAGTAAGGAAATGCATCATGTTCCATTACCTCTTCCTTCGCGGAGAAGTGAAAGACTAAAAAGTAAATATCGGGCAGGTTTATGGAGGACCACCAGGTGCGAGAAATCTACCAATGGTTATCCTGTTGCTCAAACTACCAAAGGTCTCAGCTCAGAGCAATCTAGTTCGTGTCGGAAAGGGTATGTTAAATCTCTTTCGAGCAAACAGGAGAAAATTAGAAAACGCAAAGTACAGAAACGAAACGCAGTGGACTGCAATGATGTAGGGCAGATGTATGATTCTAAGTTCTGGTTTGAGGTCTGTGCTGCTGTCTTTCTGAGTTCCGACGAAGAAGATTCTGATGATTCTGATGTGGATTCTATTATAATTGCTCAAGCTGTTAGAGAGGTGGTACATGAAAACTTAAAATCAGAGAGATCCCAGTCATCTCCTACCTGTCGCAAAAGGCAACCAGTTTCTAAAAAAATACTTGATTTGTGGAGACAGTATTCATATACAGATCTAGTGAATAATGTTTTCGAGTGTACAGCCTGCAAACAAAAATGTTCTTGTCAGGCAGATCTATTGCGCCACTTAAACAGCCATGTGTGTTCTCTTTGTAGAGTGTTCTTCATTGACAAAACAAGATCGACTGACCACAGATGTTCAAGATCATCGAATCACAATTTGTCTTTGTATGCTGTTTCACATTACAACCGACGACTGTTTTCAAAGAATATTGTGCGGCAGGTGAAAGAGAAGAAATTTCTTTGCAAGCCGTGTTATGTACAGTTTCCAACAAGCAATATGTTGATGAGGCATATGATTTCACATGTGTGTAGACATTGTGAGTTGTTTCACTCTAATAAAGACAAGCTGAGGGAACATATTGAGGAACAACACATTCAAACTATTTCTCTGAGTCAGTTGGATTTCAAAAGAAAGTCATATATCGTCAATAATAGATTGAAAAGGGAACATTGTAGAAATTCAAAGAGCAAGCTAAATACTGCGTACCCATTTCAAATAGAAAAATGTAGTGTCATAGAACCTAAAGAAGAAACAACCGATAGTGTTACTATTAATAACTGTCGAGTTTCACCAGTGAGGACAAATGATTTTGATTCTGAGGCTTCACCTGAAAGTAATCAGTCATCGGAAGTACAACAAAATTGCTTAAAACATAGTAGACAGCTCAATGGATCTGTCAGTCGAGAGGATAAATGTGATGACCCTCAAATGGTTGATGCGTTTTTAGAATCAAGGGAAACAGAAACTGGCCCTCTACACATGATTCAATCACCTTCAAAGTCTGAAATGTCTGCAGAAGATAAACTTATTTCTTCCATCTGCCAGGACATGCCGCTAGATCTTTGTCCTTTTGAGAATAAGTATTATGTGACTGTAGCAACTCACCCTGTGTTGAATAGTCAAGAAACATTAGCAGAAGGCCTGGTGAC